GTGTGTGTGTGTGTGTGTGTGTGTGTGTGTGTGTGTGTGTGTGTCCCACGGTGTGTGTGTGTGTGGGGGCGACAGTGTGTGTGTGTGTGTGTCCCAGGTGTGTGTGTGTGTGTGTGTGTGGGTGGAGGGTTGTATGCTCTGTATGTCCCAGGTGTGTGCTCTGTGTGTGCTGTGTGTGTGTGTGTGTCCCAGGTGTGCTCTGTGTGTGTGTGTGTGTCCCAGGTGTGTGCTATGTGTGTGTGTGGGGGGCACAGTGTGTGTGTGTGTGTCCCAGGTGTGTGTGGGTGTGGGGGGAGGGTTGTATACTCTGTATGTCCCAGGTGTGTGCTCTGTGTGTGTGTCCCAGGTGTGTGTGTGGGGGGGGGGAGGGTTGTATGCTCTGTATGTCCCAGGTGTGTGCTCTGTGTGTGTGTGTGTATGTGTGTGTGTGAGCGCACGCAGGGCCTGTCTGGCGTTTTCCGTGTGCACGCTGGGCGGCGCGAGATCAGCCGGCAGGGCCGGTTTGGGGGCGGCTCTGGGCTAAGGTGGGGGGGAGACAATAGAAATGTCCCCCGGCCCCCAGTGCCTCCCTCAGGCTGCCCATCCCAGCCCCCCGCCCCCAGCCAGCCTGCCCACCTCCCCCCCTTCCCTGCGCTCTCTCCCGTGCCAGGATGGCGCCCGAGGTGGCAGCGGTGGAGCTCAAAGGCGGCTACAACGAGCTATGTGACATCTGGTCCGTGGGCATCACGGCGGTGGAGCTGGCCGAGCTGCAGCCCCCCATGTTCGACGTCCACCCCCTGCGGTGAGTGCCAGGGGGCGGGGCCTGCCACGGGGGAGCCCCGCCCCTTCCCAGGTCCGAACCCGCCCCCCTGGACCAGCTCCCAGGGCGTCACACAGGGCCTGCGATGGCTGCGGGGCGCAGGGAGGGACTGGCAGGTGGGGGGGAAGAGCGGGGCGGCTGGCATGGGGGAGGATCAGGGCCCCGGCTGGGCAGAGCTGCGGGACCCAGGAGTCCGGGCGGCCAGGAGTTGGGCTTGCAGAGGGCGAAGCCAGGAGGCTGCCGGAGGGAGCGAGCCGGCCCCCACCCCGCAGAGCCAGGCGGCCGCGCGGTTTCCCCCTCACTCTGCACAGCGGCTGGGTGTGTGTGTGTGTGTGTCTAGGAAGCCCAGATAAGATCAGAGTGCGACAGTCACTCGGTGCCCCCACGTGGCGCGGTGCCCACAGGCCGCCCTTTCATGCGGCATCTGATCCTGCCCCCACCAAGGGCTCTCCCTGCCCGCAAGGCCCAGGCTGGAGGGTGCGGGGGCCGAATCCGAGACAGAAACCGGCCTGGGGTGGAGCTTCTGGGGCGTGGGTGGGGGGAAGGGCGCACTGCGTCCATCTGTCCGTCCCTGATCCAGCTCTGGTTCCTGATCCGCCCGGGGCCCCAGCGCACTGGGACGGGCCCATCTACCCGGCCTCCTGGCTCCAACGCTGGTTGCTTCTCCTGCCCCCTGCAGCCCCCCCCTCGCCCTTCCTGACCCGGCCAAGAGCTGGGGCTCTGGAGTCCGCGAATGGCTGGCCCCTGCCCTGCAGCAGGGAGTCCTGCCGGTTAATGAACCTCGCCCCCCCCCCCCCCGCGCCTGGGTCCGGCGCCCCCTTGTGTCCCCGCAGGGTGCTGTTCCTGATGTCCAAGAGCGGCTACCAGCCGCCGAAGCTAAAAGACAAGGCAAAGTGGTGAGTGGCGCTGGTCACAGGACTGACCCGAGCCCCATTGCCTGCTGCCCTTTGTGACCCCCGGAGGCCAGATGCGGCTGAGGCTGGGCCGGCGTGGGGGGGAGCCCCCGGGGAGGGGCAGTCCCCTGCCAAGGGTGGGAGCTGCTGGGCCGATCCCGGTTCCAGGGTCCTGGGATCAGGTTCTGCTGGGGCTTGGTGGGTTGCGGGGGAGGCTGGGAGCCAGGACTCCTGGGTTCCATCCTAGCTCTGGGAGGGGAGTGGGGTCTAGTGGTTAAAGTGAGGGTGGTGTGGGAGCCAGGACTCCTGGGTTCTCTCCCTGGCTCTGCCACGGCTGTGCTGTGTGACCTGGGTCAGGTGGGGACCCCTCTCCGTGCCTCAGTTTCCCCTCGGTAAAGGTGGGGGCTGGCCCCGTCCCTGGGCCTGGCCTCCCTGCCCAAGGCCCTTCGGCTTCCCGGTTGTGTCCCCCCAGGACTCCGGCCTTCCACAACTTCGTGAAGGTGACGCTGACCAAGAACCCCAAGAAGCGGCCGAGTGCTGCCAAGATGTTGAGCGTGAGTAGGGAGCGGGCGGGGGCCGGGGGTGGCCCATCTCGGCGTGCGCCGGCAGCCGGTCCCCCCGGGGGGCGGGGGTGGGGGAAGCCGGCTGCCCCTCAACCTCCCCCCGTCCCTCCCTCCCCAGCACCAGTTTGTGGCCCAGCCCGGCCTGAGCCGGAGTCTGACGCTGGAGCTGCTGGAGAAGCTGCGGAACCCGGACAAGCTGCCGCGCTGCTGCGAGCCGGAGGAGGAAGAGGCCGAGGTGAGACGGGCCGGGGGGGGAGCCATGCTCACAGACCGAGGGGGGGTGTGGGGCCGTGTTGGTGGGACCCCCCCCCCACTTAACCCCACCCTGTCTTCCCAGCTGCCACCCCCGGTGCCCCAGCGGATCCACTCCACGCACCGGCACGCGCCGGCCGAGCGCAGCAACTCCGACATCAACCGTACGTTCCCCCGGAGCTCGCCGGGACCCCCTTCCCCCGCTGGGAACCCCGCCGTGACCCCCTGCCCCCGCTGGGAACCCCTTCCCCGCTGGGAACCCCGCCGTGACCCCTCCCACACTGCAAACCCCATCCCCCGCTGGGAACCCCGCCATGAACCCCCCTCGCTGGGACCCCCGTCATCCGCTGGGAACTCCACCATGACCCCCGCCATGACC